CCTGTTGTGAAATGTTCCYTTCTCACACACTCCCTACCTCCAAYCGTGTTTCTTACCTTCACCCAACACCTGCTCATTGCTCCACATCTTCCCTGCCTCTGCTGCCTGCTGAATGGTAACTTTTCAAGCAAGGAAATGCAGGGAGGGGTTTTGTTATTTCCTTTTTGAGGTTCACATTGAAAATAAGTTCAAGAAGAGAAAAATCGTTCAATACCAACAAGAGACAGAGATATGGAAATCCAGCTGACACCATAATCTTTGCTGCTTACAGAACCAGGATTAACATAAAGCAGGTGGCAACTCACAACTGCTGTTTTTGTCCTGAATCAGAGGAATACATTCCAATGTCTCCCAGAGCAGAGATCCAAGGTTAGGAAGATGAGGATCCATTTTGAAGCACTTAAGCATACTTACTGCAAGCTTCTGGATCACATCAAACCAAAATCATTACAAGAAGTGCTAAAGCCACCACAAAAAAAACACTGCTGAAGCCAAATGTTTCACCTTGATTTTGAATCATATCAGGACTTTGCTGGTTGAGTATTTAGGAGATAAATGCTGACAAAATATTTTCATTTTAATGAGGCAACATCTTCCAAAGAGAATCAAGGAAGCTTTGGCAACACCAGTCAGAAARCAGATTCCCTGCAGTCCCTGGCAGTAGAGCAGCCCACAAGGCTGCAGGATGCTGGAAAACAGGCAGCATGAGGTTGGTGTTTGCTGTTGGATCTACATGAGCTCACAAATGCCTGAGTCAGAACACTGGGCTGACACCTTGGGGGACACCTCAGAGCTGGATTCTGACAGGGACAASCAAGGTGGGCAGCTCCCCACCTTAGACAAGGACAGGAAAAACACCTGGCAATGTGGCTGAAGGTATCAGAACCCACCACCAAAACATGAAATAAAATGCTGTGTAAGTGCTCACCTGCCAAAAAATGCAGATGAGCACGAAGCAGGAATGTGGAATGAACACAAATGCACTGTCCTTTGCTGGTGCTGCATATTTGGACCCAGGGTTCCAGAGGTGCCCTTTCTCTAGGAACATACCCAGGACATACTTAGATTGCAAGAGCTAATTTGCCCAAATATTCGTCCATCTGCACAAAAACACTTGCAGGCATCTTCCTCTGGGGCCAAACACCTCAGTCTTCCTAAGACTGGCTTAATTACCCCACAATTTGTTTGGATGGCATTAAGCCTGAGTGACTTCATAATCCATTTACTAGATCCTTGTTAAAATTAAAATCTAGCAAAAAATTAAACTCAACTCTCTGCCAGGCCAGATRCAGGGGTGCAAGAACAGCCCAAGCCATCCCTGATTATATCAGTAACACTTGGTAACAGAAGTAGCAGCATCCTGGCCCCCCACCCCAACCCCAAAAAAGACAGAAATAGCTCAAGATTTTAGGGTTTTTTGCAAGCTCAACACTCAAGATCTGGATGCATAAGAATTTCAAATTCTCCCCTACTTTCAAGGAAATTCTACAATACTTAGAAAACACAAATTACTTACCAGTGACAGGTAACAGAAACTGGCCTGGGATATTTTTTTCCCCAAATCTGCATCTCAGAAGCAGAGTTTATCCAACAGTGGAATCCTCACCTTAGGCCAAGAGGAAAATGTCAACACATGTKCAGTATCAGGCAAATTCTCCAAAGTGCTGTATGGACAAAGTGGTATTATCTGGGCACAAACCACATACTGTACAACAACTAGAAAAAAAGCAGGAGTAATTTGGTTATTTGAAAGAACTCCAAGAACATTCCATAAGGTATTTTTCTCTAGATATTTGGAGTTTAAAAAAAAAAAAAAGGGACTAACAGCTGGTATGCCTTCTTCACCCAGAGAGAAATTCCAAAGTCCCACAGAGTCCCACAGCTATCTGTAAGTGCAGATGACCAAACATCACCATTTCTGCTGATTAACAATATCAGTAAAATCTCATCACTGGAGACTGAGATATTTTCTAAAGGGATAGTGTTTTGCCCCTCATTTCTCTGCAGGTCCAGGAATCAGCAATATTATTATTATTTCAAAAGATCCATTGGGCATAACTTGAAATGCAAAACCAGTTTTTTTGACACGTGTCACTTTTTTCCTATCAGCCTAATCTTTCACCATTCTTCATGTAAAGGCTGTCTTACCACAGAAACTGATTCTATGCAGATAACAGGATCTCAGAAACAGTCCCAAGGGATGAATTCCTGACAAAAACCCAACTGTCCATTAGCAAACAGGACATCACAGACTTCACTCTCTGTAACTCTCAAACCTTTCCTGATGAAAGCATTTACTTCCCATAATGCATTRAGCACAGAGAGGCCAAAGCTCCAGGAGGTAATCAACATCTTAATATAAAAYAAGCTGTGGTAGACTGTGAAAAGCAGGCTTGGAATGAGACAACTCCATTCACTCTCTGCTTCTGCCAGGCAAAGTTTCTGATTATTGACTGCTGTGGAGGAAGTGGTCACCCTTCAGGGATCACATCACTGTGAATGTGCCTTCACATTCACAGGGCTGACTGCTGTGTTGCAGGCACAAGCAGCTGCAATTGTTCTCTGACCTCTTTGGGGCACAAATTGCTGTAATCACCCCGAGAAATTTGAGAAATCAAGGGATTTTCGACTTGGCGTTACAGTCTGATGTTGCAGTTACCTCCTGAGGACAATGCTGACATTAGGTTTCTTCTTACTCCTCCACGTTATCAAGATTTCGATGTTTGACATGTAATGTGAAGTGAAAATGTGTCAATTAAAGGGTTTTGGAAGCATTCTTACCTGAACTCATGTATTTGGCTTTTTTAACGAATTACAATAAAAATGTAACGAGAAACTATGTTCGAGGTGACTGTTCTCTCGTTTTATCTGCTGCTATTAAAATCCATTAATTTTGACAGCAATTAGGAAACACAGGGGATAGCTAGGGATCAGTTATGCATAAATTAACCTCCAACATCAGAGCATTGCGTCACCAAATACATCCAGTTTCATTTATCCCTCAGTGTTTTTTCCTCTGTCAGCCTAATCACTTTCCACTTTTCTGTGGCAATTGCAGAACCCCTACCAGACAGCCATTCTGATTCACACATGGATAAAAGCATCTGCACTTTCATCACTTCAAATCTCTCCTGGTTCTCCAAACTTAATTTCAAAATATATTCTAAAGGGGCGTTTAACTTTTCATTGAAATTTATTTGGGGGAGCATTAGTTTATTTTTTTGAAAGAAATAAAGGACTTATCTCCTCAATTCCTAAGAGGATCAAGTGTCCAAACAACTGGTATCGCAGTCAAATTGGAAAGTAATCCGTTTTCAGTAAACAAGTGTTTCATCAAGACTTGGACATAATCTGTCCAAACTAAGCAACAGCAAGACATTTCAATCCTTGTGAGAACAGAAAATTAAAATAGGTGGGGGATCAGATGCACAGCTTTCCTCCAGACTGCATTATAGTAGGTACATATACCAAAACTAAGGCATTTAGACATCAGCAGCACAAATAAGATTAATAGCAGCCCACAGCAAGCCTTGTTTTCTTGTTGAATTACTTCTAATTCCTATCTAATCTATCTCTAATATGTGCACAGCTACAGTATCTATTACCCCATAAGAGCAGTGCTTGGTAAAAAGGAACATTCTTCCTWCCTCTCATTATAACTGATTATTTGGCCATCACATCCATTCCTCGCAGTCCTCCCATATTATGTTGAAAATAGTTCCAGTTCTTATTTCCCAGGATTGCAGGCAGCAGATTATATCTTTTTGCCTTAATTGTCTGCATATTGATCCTTGGCACACACTAAGAATCYAATTAATCAAATGGGAAGAGATAGCTATAATGCAGGTAGATCCTACTCATAAATCAGAAGTCTTTTTTGCTACATCACCTAAGCATATAAATTAAGATTTGAATATAAATGGAATGCTGCCAAATCATACTTGGGTCCAAAGCAATCTCAGTATTTTATTAGTCTCCTTTGTGCTCTAAATAACACAGCCTAAACATTCTGAGTCCTCATGCTTTTATCACTTAATTTGATCAAAGCTTTGACTGCTACAAGAAGCCAAGGAAAAGCACAAAGCCCGATTTGCTGGGAAGGAAATGCTGGCATTTAAGCAGAAACAAGCATTAAGTTTCAACGCTTCAAAATAATGTGTCTGGCTTCCAATTTAGCACACCCCTATTCCACTTCCTAATGCATTATTCTCAGGTCACAGCAGCCACTGCCCTGTTAGCAGCATCAGTTCTGGTGGGCCTTAATAGAGTTGCCAGTTAACAGTCCTCCATCTTGAATTCCAGACTTTTGAGGGTTAGGGTTTTGAAAATTTATTGGGGTTTTCTCCCTAGAATGGCCTTGTGCACCCTGCTAGCTTCAGACTCAGGGGCAGAGCAATCACACACCAGCTCCTTCAGTGCAATCAAGAGCAAAGACCAGCAAGTCAGTCAGTTTTACACCAAGGCAGCATCTCTCAAAGCACAACTACTGTGCTTTAAAAGAGGGAGCACTCGAGCAGCAAGAAGCAAACTCCAGCAATCTTTCCTATCACAGAAATGCTGAGTTTCTACAAAGCTTACTCACATGAAGTACACTTGAGGAAAGTCTTTGCAGAGCAGTCCTTGTTGGATCTTAGATTGTGTCATGGATAAACTTCTTTTGTACAGCAAGGCAGCAGCCATTTTCAGTCTGTCCCACTGTCATTTCATCTCACTGCACAYCATTTCCAGGAACTCTCAGACCATAGGGACTCCTTCACAGACAACACACCCTACACCAGTTGTATAAAGAACACCCATTTTTACTGCTCTGTGTGGAATAACCATCGTGTAGTATGTACATTTTCACTACTGTTATGTATTAAAACCAGAACTGTGTGATGCAGAAGCTCAGAATGCTGCCCCAGGCCTGCACTGGCTGAATTTACCCTGAAACATCACTTGTTCAGTGAAGCCGACCCTAATGTCAGAGCTAAGCAAAAAATTTCACTTAGCATCTACCAACCACATGACTAAGCAGCTATTTCCTGAAGAACTTGCATTTCCTCACAAAAATTGTGATTCAGAAGGAAATCAGCACACAGATTTGCCCATTGGAGCACTGAAGCCAGTACAACACTGAGTCCAACCAGCTCTTTATTACATGAAATACTGTTCCCAGGTATTAAAGAAAAAGCAATCAAGTCCAAAAAACAGCTGCATCTCATTTTCCAGTACCCAGAATATCCAATGTAGTTCTTTACCTTCCATACTGAGTTTCTTCCTGTTCTTTGATATATTTTAAGATGAAGTTTAATTCACAGCACCATTTTAAAATTACAGCCAGAAAGAAACACAAGTCATAAAAGGTTAGGCTGCACAAGATTTTGATGTGCATTTTTACTGTTGTTGAATATTACAAGACAGCTGTTTATTTAAAACTTTAAAGTGCCAGGTTTATGTACAAACTATCAAAACAGTAAAAATGGTAAACTTAAAACCTGCTAAGAAAGCAGTGATGTCATCATGTAGTTGCCTCCAGAGTTTTCTAGACTATTCAACAAATTTACAACTGMAATTTCTCAACTGATCCTCTGTTTATGGTGAGAACAGCAGAAGCCAGGGGTCAGTGCCCACGACCTCCCATCTTGCAGAAGGAAGGACCTGTATCTTTCATGGAGTGGAATAGCATGTACTGTAAGATACACCTAAGCATTCTATGCATTAACACCATTGGCAAAGTCTAATTAAAAAGGATTTTACTGCTGGAGCTACACCAGCCTTCTAAAGTATCCCAAYATCACCACACTTTACAAGAGTGGGATTTCAACACAGGAATCGAGTCACACTGTGACTCAGCACACTGAGTGTTCCCCTAAACAGGGCAGGATGCACATTAATGCACATTAATGCACATGGTCCCAGATCACTTAAAAGTCCGCATCCAGGGTGAAAGAGTTGTCTGTGGGCTTGGACATGACTCCCATCCTCTGATAYTCGCCTACTCGCTTCTCAAAGAAATTTGTCTTGCCTTCCAGAGAGATGTTTTCCATGAAGTCAAAAGGATTCTCTGCTTTGTATATCTGAAATACACAGGCAATTCCATAGTCACTGCAGGTGCTCACATTCTGAGTATGCAAGAGCATTAGAGAKCAGCTGGAAGGAGTCTAATGGCAGCATCAGCAGGCTTTCTACGTAATGAACAAAAATCTCTGCCCCATGCCTTATCTACTCTATTTGCTCCTGTCTTATTTTAGCTGCAGTAAACAGAAGCACAACTACTTAATATAGCTTCTTCCATAGCATCCTTTTGTGCTTCCTTCAGYGGGTCTCCAAACAGAATATAGCAGCAGGATTGTTAAATCATATAACAAGTTAAAATAATATTGCTGCAGCCAATTTGGGATYTGGATTTCTGAAGAAAATTAAACTTCCCCATGAAATATTCAGTGTATTAAAGCCTTACCTTGTTAAATCCCAGTTCCAACATAAGCCGGTCTGCCACAAACTCGATGTACTGTTTCATTAAAGTGCAGTTCATGCCAATCAGCTTCACAGGCAGTGCCTCCGTCAAGAATTCCTGCAGATAACAAGCATTTTATGTACAGAAACTGGCATTCACTATCATCTYAGGTGAATTTTATGCCTAACAGCTCCTCAGCTTTGATTGCAATGAAGTTCCTTAACAAGGGGCAGACAATTACCTGTTCTATGAGAACAGCATTCATGATGATTTCCCTTACTCTCTCCTCTGATGGTTTGTGTATCAAGTGCTTGAACATGAGACAGGCAAAGTCACAATGCAAACCCTGGAAAGAAGTTTCAGAAAATTATTTCAGGAACACTGATTTAAAAGAGCACAAGAGTAAGTAGCATCACCCTTGCCATGTTACTATTCCCTACAGACAACTTTCTGCCACACCAGAAGGCATCACAAGCAAGTTCTGCCAGTGCGAGGCACAGCAGCTGCGAGCTCCATCTACTTTAGAGGAAGTGAAATGCTAAGTTCATTCATACACTCCTGCAGATCCACAATGACACATGTTTACACACTTTAGTGAGCTTTATAGTCTGCCTGTTTCTAAATTTACTTCTGTTTTAAAATATAGGCTCCAGTTGAGTATCATTACTTTGAGCTACTGTGGCACATTACCATCTTAACTACTAGAATTTGACTCATACCTCATCTCTACTGATGAGTTCATTAGAAAAAGTGAGTCCAGGCATTAATCCTCTTTTCTTCAGCCAAAAAATTGATGCGAAAGAGCCAGAAAAGAAGATTCCTTCCACGGCTGCAAAGGCTACTACACGTTCTCCTGTTAAAAGAAGGTTGATAATATTATCACACAGAAAACAGGATAAATACACAGAAGTTGCAAACAGACCAGTGAACCGCATCCAGCAAAGCAAATTGTTTCTGCCTAATTGTACTATGGCCTGTCCTTAAAATTATTGAAGATTTCTGATCATTAAACCAAACAACCACGAGATCAAGTAGGAACTAATCACAGTAGCTACTAAGTAGCTGAAGCCAAGCTTCCTTCCCTCTGGGGGCAACCCCCAATATTACCCTTTTTCAGATGGCTCACTAGAAAAGAGCAATCATTTTGGCAGCCAATTTATGTCAGTTGTTGCTCATCTTCAGCCATGGAAAATGCTTCAATACAGTGARGTAATGATCTGTACCATCTCACTTTGAAACAAGACATGAGGAATCACCAAGGCAGGGGAGTTACAGCCTCCAACCAGACATGTCCATTGTGACACTAATTTACAGTTTGATCATGTAGTCAAGCATATGATGATTGCCACATGACCTTATTATTCATGTCAGCAATTTTACAAAAAATTCCCATCACTAGCTCATTTGAAGATGAAAATTATTTTCTTCATGTTCAAAATCACACCAGTGTCTTATAGTGGAGAGCATGTACTCTGCCTCTGATAGCAATAATCTCTGTTAACTGTTATGTCTGGAGAAATAGTTCCTCCATCTTTAGGGAAGGAATTTCACTTTACTTCCAATAGATGTACTCACCATATGTTGCTTTCTTGTCCCCAATCCAGCACATGGCCCAATCTGCCTTCTTCTTAACACATGGTAACGTTTCAATAGCATTGAAAAGAAATTCCCTGAGAAAGAAAACTCATTAGGATAAGAACGTCAGCACAACCAACAGAATACAGATTTACTACCATAAACAGTCTTGATCACTTAAACATGCTCTGCACCTTCATCCTGGTAATTCCCMTTCCTCCTTCCTGGCACCAATCTAGCTCTGCTGGTTTAAATCAACTACTTTTTCTTCATCTACCCATCACATCAGCACCAGTTCACATGAATTCCCACGACAACATCAAGGAAGAACTGTTTCACCGAGTGTTGTAYTTGAAAACAAGGCTTTCAAAACGAGAGATTAACCAGGCTCTGCTTTACAGCACAAAGGCACCACACCTCTCACATAAGCAGCTCTTGCTGGAATGCTAGAAGCATCTCAGAGTAGAAAGGAGACAGCAAGCTTTCTAAGTARCAGTAAAACTCACTATAAAACTTAATATACTCCCCTCATTTGACTGCTCAATCTTTTACATAGTGTAATTCCTTTATTTCAGTACTGAGTGATTTCAGTTTCACTCTTCATGTAAGCAAGGTCTTACACCTCAGAGGAAAACGGATATTGTGAAGTAAAACTGCTCTTAAGCAGCAGTTTTTTACATAAGCAGTATTTCAAGTCTAATTTACATCCCAAAATTAGCCTGAAAGTCAGAGAACAATTGCTATATATTAGTTAAACTCTAAATATTTACTGAGTTCTGAACATTTCATCATCAAGCAACACGAACCTCTCTTTAGAATCCTTAATGTAGGTGTCAATAAGAAGACTGTACATTTCTGAATGTATATTTTCCATGGCAATCTGGAAGCCATAGAAACAACGAGCTTCTGTGATTTGTACTTCTTGACTGAACCGCTCCACCTAGAGGAAATAAATARGCATTTACAAAAGTGTTTGTGATTTTCAGGTTAGAGGTATTAATGCTGTATAGACTATTAGAGCCCACAAAATCTTCCTCAGATTAATTACAGACATGGGGATTACTAACAGCAATGTGCAGAGCAGTAGCCCCTCAGTTTCAAGTCATGAGATATTCTTTGGTCCATGAAAAAACTTAGTTTTACTCATCCCCAATTAGGGAGAAGAGCACAGAGGGTAGAAGCACACATGAGCTCTAAAATAGCCAAGTGTTACAGTAGGGCAGCACACAATGCCCCATGGGGACTGGGCAAACTTGGAGATTACAAAAYCGAGCCCAATTCATTAATTAACATAGGCCTGCACCACATGTTGTAATGCTGTAACACTCCATGGTCCAGCAAACCAGCTGGATCAGCCACAGCAAGCACTGCCCAACACGTGAGTTATCTGGTTATCTGCTAAAGTGGTATTTCTGTCCGGATTTTTCACACACTCACCAAGTTCTCGTTGACAATGCCATCGCTGGCAGCAAARAAGGCGAGGACGTGAGAAATGAAGTACTTCTCCTCAGGTTTCAGGGACTCCCAGTGCTGTAGGTCTTTGGAAAGGTCCACCTAAAACATTGGGATAATTAAGAACCTGCGCTCGGGTGGGAGGCTGTCCCTGAGCACAGGGACCGCCCCGGGCCCCGCCCAGGGCTGTGGCCGCCCACCCCTCACCTCCTCCGCCGTCCAGAAGGAGGCCTCGGCCTTCTTGTACATCTGCCAGATGTCGTGGTACTGGATGGGGAAGATGACGAACCGGCGGGGGTTCTCCCGCAGCAGCGGCTCCTCCTCCTCCACGCCCCGCGGCACCTGGAATGGCGGGAGAGCGGCTCGGGCCGGGCTCGGGGCGGCTGAGGCGGAGCCGGGCTTGGSAGCGAAACTGAGCGCGGCAGCTCGGGGAAAAACCCGTAAAGGAAGAAGGGCTGGGGAGGGCGGAGAGATTTCCCTGAGGAGAAGGGCCCGGAATGATGGAGACACCCCTGAGGGAGAGGGATCGGAGCGGGGAGGTGGTGGTGCGGTGCCCACTGTATCCCGCAGGACCAGCGGGCTCGGGATCGGTCGGGAGCAGAAAGGAGAGACCAGCGATGGGGAGAGAAGGGAGGAGCGGGGGTTGCAGGAGCCTCCAGACAACAGGACAAGGGCGGGCGCGGTGCCCGGGCGTTCCACACTCACCGGATTGCTGTCGGCCTCCTGGAAGATCTTGCGGGCGGTCTTGCTGGCCAGGACACGGGCGCTGCTGAGCGCGGGGGGCTGCGGGGAGAGAGGGGCAGGGTGAGCGCTCTGCGGCGCTGCTGGGCGGGGGGCGGGAGTGCGGGAGGGCGCTCACCGTGTTCTCCTTGTCGCTCAGCGCCAGGCCCTTCATGGGCGACAGGTTCTTCATAGGGGACTGGCTYTTCTTGGGCGACAGCCGAGGTTGGTCGTGGCGGGCGGCGAGCGGGGCGCGGGAGGACAGCATGGCTGAAATGGCAGCAGGAGTAACAGCAGCAGGAGCGGRACGAGCGGCAGGAAATGAGAAATCCCGCGCCGGCTCTTTATATCCCCTTCGAAGTTGGCGCCAGAACGGGCGGCTGGCCACTSACAGCCCTCGCCACGCCCACCKCCGCCCGCCCCYGCGCTCCCATTGGCTGTTGYAGCRGTCAGGGCCACACCYCCGMRCTYCCATTGGYTSTTKCTSCGGGCGGRGCCACGCCCCCCATTGTGGTGGAGACGGCGGGAGGAAGGGACACGCCCTTCGTTTTGGCGCCAGCGGCGCGCGGGAAAGACGGGAGAGCGCGGGAAGTCCCGCCCTCCCCCCGCCCCCTCCCCTGCAAAGAGAGATTCTAGTGCGGGTCCTGCGTCTGAATTGTTTGGGAAAGATCTGGCTGCAATGGAAAAGTCTCCTTTCTGGATACGAGATCGTAAGCTGGGYTTGGGGTACAGATCTGGAAATGCCACTCTGCCTTGCTTTCCCCTGTTCTTTTCTGGTCCCTCCTACCTACCCAGTCATTTTCACTTTCAACACTGATCCCTGAATTTGGATAGAGATTCCACATTCCTGCATTTAGAGGCAGAAATTGGCTTCCTGGAGAAACTGATTCTGTGCCACCCTGTTTCACTTATTTTAAATAAATAGYTCAAGAAAAGAACACAGATAAGAAGAGGTGAATAATCATAATTTTTAAAAGTCAGCCTTTGTTTTTTATTAATCAAATCACAACATCGTTTTCATCATCTAAGTCCACAAGGGAGCTGCTTTTGTCAGCTAAAATGTTTTCCCTGAAGCAGTTTTAATGAAACCAGGAGCTCCATGAGACTTGGAGGCTCTTCAGTYATGTGGGATGCACAATGGCCTGGACTGGTCCCCATCACCTGARCGTGTTTTCAGGCACGATGGCGCAGCACTGCACTGTGCCAGGCTGGAGAAGAGGCAGGTAGAGCAGGAGAGTTCTTTGTTAAATTTACTGCCATGGATTTGGAAGAAAAACAAGAGTACTCCCCCTCCAGCAGCACCTCTGACACTGTAAATTYGATTCAATTACTCATTTTAGCAGGTCATTGTCAAGGTCACAAATTTGACTCTGAGCCCTCCTCAGCTGGGGTGTATCAGAAATGACCCCCAGAGACATTAGGTTTGTGGTTTTTCTTGGTCCTGTTTAGGACATTGGACTGGTGCAAACACCCACCCAGGTGTTCTGTGGGACTTTCTGTGCTAAGTATTCATCCCAATATACAAACCTAAATGTACTTCTCCATCCCAGGAGAGTGAGCACCACAAAACCCCATCCTGGTAGGCAGCCTGGACAAGCACAAACATGAAGCTGGTCGCAGAGGCAGGAGTACCAGGTATTTCTCAAAAGGCTTACAAGTGTCCATGTAACACCCTCTTATCTCTTGCAGCTGCTGGGAGGGTTGGCAGAGAACTACAGCAGCACCCTCCCCATCCCACCCAAACTCACTTACCCTCCCATCCCAATAAAGAACCCCAAAGCCACCACAAGCCCTGGGCTGTCACAATGCAGCAGCTGKGCTATCTCTGCAGTCCAGCTACTGTTGTCAGGAGCCCATGGCAGGGGATTAAAGCACTGTCCTGAGGACAATGGCTCTGCAAGGAGACAAAAGTGCCAGTGAGAGCACAGAGAGGGTCTATGAGGACTCATGTTGCAACTCTGCTGCTGTAGCTGCCACAAAATGGTATTTAGAAATGGGTGTCCATGATGAATTTTCCTAGTACAGYCGTTTAACCCAATTGTATTTGTTCCTCCTTCATGTACATCCTTCTCCATGATGCAAGTGCATTTTGGGAACGGCATTTCCACGGCAGCTCCTTTGGCAGACCTGGGTTGAAGGCACGAGGCTGCTGCTCTGCTCTGAAGTCCTCAGCATCACACCAGGGATGTCATCTAGCTCCTGCCCTCTTTGGGTGTGTGAAAGAATGCTCTGCCCTTATGGCTTCTGGCCACTAGTTCTGAGTACTGTAAGTTTAAAAAAATACAGCCCCAGACTTGTATTAGTTTCTCGCCTCCTTTGTTTACAGGAATTCAGACACTCAGAAAGGTGGCAGTAAGAGCAGCCGCAGGCGTCTGGGTGAGKCGGGTGTGGGGTGTTGTGTAACCACCCTGCTCACATCGGTGCCCCCGGGCCCCCACGGGTGTGGKGTRTTGTGTAAMCACCCTGCTCACATCGGTGYCCCCCACTCKGGGGTCCCAGCTCCACGCAGAGCCWGACACTCACATCAGCTGYAGCAGAGCACACAGCAGCCTCTGTCCCCCCAGTGCTGTTGTGGTACCTCAGTGCCAGCACAGCCCCATCCCATCAGGCACAGCCCCCACATCTCCTGTTCCCATCACTCATCTGCTTCCTCAGGATGGCCTCTGCCGTGGCCTCAGCTCACCGACCTGCTGGTAACACTCCGGGCAGGGCTGTCCTTACTCAGAGGATTGGTTTTCTTCCTTTTTAACCCAGAGTGCCTACAGAACAAATAGTGACTCCAGGTTGCTGGCTGCCTCGACTGCAGCAGCTGGTCTGATGAGAGTCAGTGAGGAGAACTGACTCATTACTAGCTGAGGACTCCGTGTTTGCTGATGCTTTTCTCCCAATAATTTTTCTCTCACCTCATCCAGCCATATTCATCCACACCAAATCCTGAAATCCTCACCCACTGCTCAGTCTGGTAGGGTTGGTATTTGTATGGAGGATTATGCTCAAGGGTCCCTGCTTTGGTCTGGGTTCTGGATGCAGCACAAAAGAATAAATGCTCTAAATAYGGGCTGAGGCAGGGTAGGTGAGCAGGAGAGGCCATCAGCCAGCACCTCTGAGATGGTACRTGGTGGTGTCAATGGCCTCCACTTTCTCCAGCAGGTTTGGAGGTAGCCTCAGCATTTTCTCACCCAGCTGTGCTGAGGAGAAGAATGCTTCACATCCCTCCAGAACCGATCTGAACCATAAAGACTCAGACCAAAACTTCAAAAATTTGAATGAAARATTTCCCACAGTAGCTTGACCTGTTTAGAGGTAGTCACCCTCCACTTACTCTAGGATTTATAGCTGCAAAAACTGAACTGCAGGACCAAGGCACTTCAATGGGAGTTTCAGTGAGAAATCTAGAGCAGAACAAAATAAGTCTTCATTAGCATGATTCTGGCTGGATATCACATTGGCCAATAAAGCCCATTTATTTGCAGCACCATCATTAGCCACCTGCTTACCTAACAATCAGCCTCTTCAGAGATAATGAGCTCTTGGAAAGCAAAGCTCTCACAAGGTTAACATATATAATGTCTTGAATTTTTTTAAAACTGTAGTTCTTGCCAATTCAAGGTCCTTACTCAACATTTACAACCCTCAGGACAAAGTCTGCAGGTAATATATGGCCACATGTGGTGTTTTAATGGTGTAATTGGACATGTTGTTTCTTTGCTGTTCATGAAACCGGGCACAGTGCTGCAGCCATAGTCTCTCAAGTGCCAGGTGGATGATCCAAAAAGTCTTTCAAGAGCTTGAAAAATGAAGCTTTCCAAGCAGCTGCACTTGCTGCCATCAGCARTCAGTAATATGCACGAGCACCACTCATTCTGGTGCCTTTCTCAGGATCTTTGAGCACATTGGAGCTGGAGTAGCAAGACCCAGCACCCCGTTCATACCTGTGCTCGAGAAGGTTGTCACTCCTCCTGGCTGGTGGCACCACCTCCTTGTTTCCTGCAGCAGCAGAAGGCAATGGCTGCAGCCTTCTGGCCCACCATGGACTCGCCTCAAGCAGGTTTTGGTCTCATTCCCTGTGTTTTGGTCACGGGGTCCGTGGCTGATCTCTTGCCACACAAGGAAGGTGCAGGTGGTTCCAGCTCTAGCAGCCAGAACAGTGAGCCACAGAACAGTGAACTGTCCTGAGGGCTGCATTCCTCAGTATTTACTCATCCAAAACTGCCTGTTGGAGGATGCAGCCCCAGGTCCTTCGTTTCTGGGCAGGCCTGTGTTGATAATGTTGAGCTGGGCTGTTGCACAGCAGCATTTCTGGGACATCTCATTGCTACTGTGCACACACAGTGGTCTGAGCCACCCTTTCCCTCTTGGTCCAGAAGAAAATCTTGCCATTGTAGCAAGGCAGCCAAGAGGCCCCTGCACTTCCAAATGGTTCCAAAGAAAACCAGTCTCAAACCATGAAAGTCAGTAACTGAGGAGAAAAAGGCAGGACTTCAAATAATTTTTCTTAACTGGTCAGCAGTGGGCAGTTTGGTTATCACCAAACCTTACTAATCTGCAGGGAACTCCTATGTATTCCCCATCCTTGCTCTGTCTTCTTCAACTGACCTTTTCTTCCCCAGCAGAGGCTTTTTCTCCACCTAGAAAATGCAGATTATCTTCAATAAAGAGGATTCCTCCTACTACCAGACTTCCTGGTGTATGTTGGCGTTCCTATCCTAAGAAACCACTTAGTCAAGGGYGTTGTGAAAAGACTGAGAAAGGATGTCACCTCCCACCTCTGGGATAGTACAACATTTTAGCCTTGTTCTGCTCCAGAAGCCCAAGACATTTGCACTTATCCAGCAGGGCAGAGAAAACAGGGAAATTTATCATAGCACATTTTTTCTGGTGGCATCTGCCAGACACTTCCCTGCAGAGCACACAAAGGTTCAGTATTTGCCAGGATTCAATTACAATCATGCCAAAGAAGGGACTGGGAAAAGCCAGCTCCTTCCAYGCCCTCTCCTGCTGTTCTGCCATGGCAATTTCATTGTGGGGTCTAGCAGTGACCCCCATGGTGATAAGAGAAGGTGCAAGGGACTGTTCACAGTTCCTGTGCACAAACAGGCARCAGTAGAAAGGGTCCCAAAAACATCCAAGAAAGATGAGTTAGGAATACACCTATGTGTGAAGGCAGTAATTGACCTTGGGAATTGTAACCAGGGGAAAAAAGAGATAAAATGGAAATTAGAAACCTWGAGAGAGGCAGTGCCCACAGCACTTATGGGGCCATGAAAACACAGATGAGTGGATTTATGTTGTGTTTGCATTCAAAAGGATAACCA